AGCTCGCACCAGGTTCAGGTGACTTGGGAACCCTGGAAAACCATGCAGAATCGCTACGGCAAGACGGAGGCATTGGCCCGCTTGAAGGCGGGAACCATGAAATGGAGAAGATCGAAGACAGACTCGAACTTTTTGGAGTTCGCCAACGTGCACGACAAGGAATCCGAAGGCTTTGAGAAAAAGAAGAGCTGCTCAGTGCAGGGCCCCGACAAGAAGGTCGGCAAGAACAGGGCTCTCGCCTTGGACAAGCTCACTTTCGAGGAGCTGCAGGACATGGAGCAGGTGAAGGAGATGAAGATCGACCCCGACTTGAAGTCTGTCATTACGAAGATGAATGATGACCAAGACCAGAGCTCCAGCGACGAGGAAGACAGCGAGTCCAGCCACGCGAAGAAGGTGACGATCACGAAGAAGAAGAAAACGAAGAGGACTTCCTCATCGTCGAAGTCGAAGGCGAAGAGCATGGATTGGGAGAAGTTGTCGCAGATTGAGGAGACAGACAACAAGAGTGAGTTCAACAAGAAGTTGACCCTCTTCAAGTCCGAGCTGCAGAAGGAAGAGACCTTCTTTGAGATGCTGCTCCTGGAGTCGAAGCTCAGGAAGAACGAGAAGAAGGACGTCCAGCAGAACCTGGAGGATCTGTCGAAGACCTTGAAACAGGTGGGGTCGGGCATTGAGAACCTCGCCAGTAAGGATGCTGTGAAAAAGAGCCTCCTGATGGCCCTCAAGTCGTTGAAGGCTTCGAAGAACCTGAAGAAGAACTTGGCAGTCTGCAAGGAGACCCAGACCAAGGACAAGAAGCTCAAGCGCCAGAGCAGTGATGCAGAGAGCTGAGCCCTTTCGATTTTGAGATCAATCGATTTGAACATAGGTTGTTGTGACCAAGCGGCTGAGGCAGACTGAAACTCGATCAGTCCTAGACCGAAGCCTTAAGACTTGGAGGTGAAGTCTCGCTTCCAAGAAGACCGAGACGAGTGCAGAATCAGGGCCGAGCCGTGAAAAAGCTTGAAGCAAGTTTGTTCATGCACGTTCACTTGCCATGTTTATTGCTTTTGATATTCGTCGTGGTAGGCAGATGCTGGAGAGGGAAATACACTTGAGTATGTAATGCCTGGACAGGCAGAATGTCGGTCGGCATATTGCAGTTCCTAAGCATTAATGCCTGGACAGGCACTTCCGAGCATTAATGCCTGGACAGGCAGGACATATACTGCACTTCCAGGCATTAATGCCTGGAAGTGCACTTCCGAGCATTAATGCCTGGACAGGCAGAATATATACTGCACTTCCAGGAATTAATGCCTGGAAGTGCACTTCCGAGCATTAATGCCTGGACAGGCAAAATATATACTGCACTTCCAGGAATTAATGCCTGGACAGTCACTTCCGAGCATTAATGCCTGGACAGGCAGAATATATACTGCACTATAGGCATTAATGCCTGGACAGGCACTTCCGAGCATTAATGCCTGGACAGGCAGAATATATACTGCACTTCCAGGAATTAATGCCTGGAAGTGCACTTCCGAGCATTAATGCCTGGACAGGCAGAATATATACTGCACTTCCAGGAATTAATGCCCGGACAGGCACTTCCGAGCACTAATGCCTGAACAGGCAGAATATATTGCACTAGGCATTAATGCCTGGACAGGCACTTCCGAGCATTAATGCCTGGACAGGCAGAATTTGCTGCACTTCGAAGCATTAGTGCCTGGACAAGCAGAATGGAATCCGATGATATTTGATGCAGCTGCTCGAGCATGTTTTCGAAGATGTAGATTCACCCAAAGAGGTGAGAAGTGAGAGAGGCCATGGGGAAGAAGAGGAAGGCTAACCTTCTTGAACCGGCCCCGTCGCCTCTGAGACTCTTGTTACTGGAAGAGTTCGCTTTTGGACGACTTTCAGCTGCTCAAGTGCAAAAAATGGCGAGTGCAGCAGTTCGGAGCTGCAAAGAACCCAGCCCAGACCTGGCGAGTTTGCAGATGCTGGGAGGACAAGGCACTAGTGCTCAGAACTGCCACAGAGACTTGATGAAGATGCTGAATGTGTGCAGAGCGCCAGAAAGTACCTTGATCAGCACCCCGGTGTCCTTGAGAGACAAGAAATCTGGTGGTGCCGTGGTGGAGTCGAAGCAGGTGCCTTTGCTTCTTCCCCACGAGTGGTTCGATGTGCTGGAGAAGAACGATGTGCTGGAGATGTTCACTGCAACTTGGCGAGTACTTTGAGCTTTGAGTTTTGTGTTTTTTGCAGGTTTTTTTTGGCAGGGTTTTCTCAGTGGTTAAGGATAGAGTTTAACTTTGATTCGCTGCTATTGGCTTTTTCAGAAATATAAGGCAACAAAGAATGAGATCCGAGAATTTTGGCAATGCCAAAACTTTCGAGAAAATGAACAGCTGTGGAGAAGCAGACAGTTCTGGAGAGACGTGAATGTGATGGAATCGCTACCGGTTCCGTTGATCCTCCACGGCGATCACGCCTCTTTCAGCGAGACAGATTCGCTCTTGATTATAAGCATGCGATGCATGATAACCAAGAGGTCGATTAAGACCTCGGAATTGCTGATCGGCTGTTTGCCGAAATCAGCAAATGCTGGATCGTGGCCAGCTTTGTGGGACAAAATCTGTGAAAGTTTGACACTGTTGGCCTCGCGACACAAAGCTGTGGTCATGGCTTTGGTAGGAGACTTGGAGTTCTTCTCGCAGGAATTCGGATGGCCTACTGCGAACAGCAATAATTTGTGTCCTTACTGCAAGTGTGACAACCTTTTCAAAGATGCAGATGCTGTCGCCCCGTTCAATGACTTCAGAGCAAGTGCTGAGTGGAGAAAGCAACCCAGAGATCCAAGAGAAAATGATCACCCTTTGTTTAAAGTTCCAGGGATCAATTTTTGGTCCCCGAAACTTGATGTGTTGCACATGCTAGACCTTGGAGTCAGTTCGCATTTGTATGGAAACTTGATCAACGACATCTTGGAGGACCACCTACCTGGGAGCTTCGCTGCATCCATTGGAGCTTTGAACTCAAGAATCCAGGAGCTGTACGAGAGTCAGTCGACCCCAGCTGCTGCCAGAATCCCGAAGTTGAGCAAAGGGAACATTCAAAGTCAGACTGGGTACCCGTGCTTGAGCCATGTGAAAGGGCGACGAATACGAGAGTTCTCGAGTGTGGCTGTGGGGTTGGCAGACTTGTACAAGGATACAGTGGCAGGAAAGCATCGTCTTGAAGCAGTGAAGGCCATGGACGAGATTTACGAGCTGTGTGACTGTCCAGACTCACGGTTTAAGGTTTTAGGGCTTATTGTTTAGGGTTTATGGTTTAAGGTTTAGGTCTGTCCAGACCATTAAGAATCTGCCCACACTCACGGTTTACGGTTTATGGTTTAGAGTTTATGGTTTAAGGTTTAGGGCTTAGGGATCAGGGTTTGGGGTTTAAGGAACAAAGGTCTGTCCAGACCAAGCATTAATAATCTGTCCAGACTCACGGTTTAGGGTTTATGGTTTAGAGTTTATGGTTTAAGGTTTAGGGCTTAGGGATCAGGGTTTTGGGTTTACGGTTTAGAGAAAAAGGTCTGTCCAGACCAGGCACCAAGAATCTGTCCAGACTCGTTAACCCTATACTAAGAAAGAAGGTCTATCCAGACCAGGCATCAAGAATCTGTCCAGACTCTTGAAACCCTACATATAATAACCTATAAGCCCTAAACCATAAACCCCAAACCCCGGACCCTGAACCACAAACCCCGGCCTAAACCCCAAGCCCCCTAAACCCCATACCCCTATAGGCCCTAACCCCTATGTATATATGATATACATGTATGTATGTATGTATGTATGTATGTATATGTATGTATGTGAATATATAGGCCCAAACCCTATGCGCCGAAACCCCTAAACCCCAAAACCCCTATAGGCCATAAACCCTATATATAGAAACCGCATAACCCGATAACCTGAACCCCAACTTAAACCCTATAAACATCAAACCCGGAACCACAAAAATCAAAACCTGCACTGAAACAATCTACATCTATCTATCTATGCATCCATCTATCTGTCTATCTATATCGATCTATGTTTCTTTACATATCTTCACATATCTCTATATATCTTTATGTGTCTTTATCTATTTATCTATCTATCTAGATATAAAATCCACAGTTGCCTCGATATGCTATATATACATATATGTGTATGTATGTATGTATGTATGTATGTATGTATGTATGTATGTATGTATGTGTATATATATATATGTATATATGTATATATATATATATGTATATGTATATGTATACATATATATATAGGCATATGTATATACACATACATACATAATATATATATATATATATATATATATATATATATCAGTTTTGTTAGACAGGACAATACGAAATTTTGCGATGTCTACGATTGATTTTTAACATCCTACGCTCGATTCTTCGCTCGATTCCTCGATTGAATTTATGAAGGTCCCCGCTCGATTCCTCGATTGAATTTATACTTCGTGTACTATGTGGATCCTCGATTGATTTTATCAATCGAACGCTTGAATTTTTTTGTTTTTCGATCGGCGCTTGAAAACACCATCCTCGCTCGAAAAAAATCAATCGGAGAGCCTTTGGGTAAGGTTCAGGGATTTGGGGGGCTAGGTGTGGTTGGGTAATGGCCGGAGTGGAAACTTTGGTGATTCAGAGTTGGGTGGGAGTTTGGGTTTGGAGGTCGGGTTGAAGTGAGTTGATTTTGGGTTTAGCCGTCCATTGTTTAGGGGCAATGCTTCTCCTTGCAATCGCGCCTACATTGCAGTAGAGTCAGTCGAGCCTACACCAGTAACCATGAGGGTTTAGTTGGTACACTAGGTTTTGCTGCTTGAAGGCTATCCAGAAAAGCCACTGTAAAACGTCAACTACGCCACGCCATGAAAGCATATGAAGCGCCTAGACGACCCCATTCCATCTGGTCGGTGGTTCGCCGTGTTCTACGCTCCCACCCACGGAGGTCGAAACAGGGCCCCGCGGCGAGGGGGAGGAGCGCGAAGGTGTCGATCTAAAGTTCGTTCCTTGGGCCTTCTACTCAAAGCTTTATTCTGGATTTAGGGCTTACTTGTGTTTTCATCTTTCACGGTGTCGGGTTTTCTTGGTGGAATTGCTCATTGGGTTCGCGGCTTAGCCCGTGGACTGTAGTCGAAGGTTGTATTCGTGGAGGTTAGGGCCATAATGGGCTCCTGCAATCCTAGTGCGGGTTGGGTGTTTCGAGCTTGCGGGTTTTGGATCCTAGGACATGCAAGCTGAAGCCCCATGTAAATATGTTAGGTTTAGGTCCTGCACCTCTGTGTTTTCGTAGCTTCTGAGGTCCAATGCTGCTAACTAAATTTTATGTAGTCCTTCGTCACACTACTCCGCTTTGGCTCTCACATCGCTACCCCTGGGTATTCCAGTGTCTGAGTTCAGCACTTACCCACCAAGTCCCTGGTGTCCAAAGACTTCCACAAGTCACCAAGGTTGACAAAGCCAAGGTACGCCCTCATGATATGTATATATATATATATATACGTATATGCAATATGCACCTGTTAATGAGTGAGCAAGAGTGAGTGTCGGGTGTGTGTGTGTGTATATATACATATATATATATATATGTATACGCAGACAAGAGAAAAGAATATGTATATATATATATACATATGTGTGTGTGTGTGTGTGCATGTGTATGTGTATGTGTATGGCGAGAGAGAGAGAGAGAGAGAAGACAAAAGAAGAAAGCATGCTTTCGCACATACCACCCCGGCAAGTCCAGGTTCATATTCTGTAGATCCTTTCGCTTGGCCTATGCTTTCCATGTCAAGTGCAAACACGTTGTGCAACTGGGCTTGGTAACTGGCCAGAAACTGGCATCACAGCGTGTGCAAACCGTAAACCCGAAACCCAGTCCAAGTCAGTTAACATAGTCACTTAGTTTTACCGGGCCTTTCGTTGTAGCCACAGGGGTTGATAATGCTCGACCCGCTCGCAATGGCTTAACTAACGTAGGTTTCACAAGTACCCGAGGAGCCTTAGAGTACTTGGCACATCCTGTCTCGTTATATCCTACTTCGGATTCGGATTGTGTCCTGAGTTGTACCTGAGACCTGCTTGTAGGCTCACCCGTACTGCCCGTACTCGTAACATGTGGTATGAGAGTGGTTGTCATATGTTGTGTTCGGTATGTGGGTACTCACACCTAGGTCTCAACTCAACTGACTCTCAGCACCAACAACCTCGCCGGGCTTGTCCGAGTGTGAGTGCCAAAACCCTAAAATCCCGAAAGTGAACGCCGAAAGCCCTAAAACCTAAAGCCCTAACTCCTACACAAAGCCCAAACTCAGGTCGACCCCATGCGATCTGGGCGAGAGGAATGGATGACGATGGCACCGGACAGTGCTTCGCTTTTCATAGAATCCAATGTTTGTTAAAGTATTTCGTTATCTGATATCATCGTATCTCGTAAAATGCCTCTACATTGCAGGCTGCAGCGGGCAAACGGTGGGGAATGTAGAATGTCAGCCCAAACCCAGACAGAATTCAAGCACCGGAACCCGAAATAGTTTGTGCTCCCCGAAGTTCTTTGCAAGGCTAGCAGAAGATTCCTTGAGAAGCCTTCTGCTGAGGCATGGCTGGCCTCTTCCTAGATGGCAACGGGACGGTCCGACAAAGGAAAGCGGATGCCTTTGCCGTGAAAAGAAGCAAGCAGGACAACCGTGCTACGCATGCCTAGCAGCTGGCAAATGTGGTTTAACCCTTAACTCTCCGTTCTGAGCTTCAGTTTGCGATGCACATCACAGGAAGAGGAAGCCTTCGAGAAGGCCTTCAAAGAACGGGGTCCATCGCTGCTCTCCCAGCAGCAGGCCGGAAACTGTCAAGTTTTGGGTATCTCTCCCTCCATTGAGTCTCTGTCTCCGTCTCTTTCGTTCCCTCTCTACCCCTCTCTCTCTTTGCACACGTATGCATGTATGCAGAATGTAGAACAAGGCCTGAGGACTTTTGTTGCAATGTGGTGGAGCTCTTTGACGAAAGCTCGGCTTTTATATTTTGCCCCAGTCCCGGACTACACAACATTGAAGTTCCAAATGTATCGGAAACTGCAGCACCAAAATGGCCTTTAGAAAGGTTTTAGGTTTAGGTTTCACAGGAATCAGCCAGACATGTAGTGCTCACCTTGGGCCTTATCTTCGCGGCGAGGATGGGAGCTTTGCAGAGGCCAAGGAGGCTCAGGACAGCCTGCGCAAGAGAAAGGCCAGCGCCTGAGCTTGTGGCTGCTACTTGTACTATACGATTACTGGACTCCGGGATGTACCCTAAACCCTAAACTATAAGGCTCGCAAGCGGGCATCGACTCCACAGCAAAGCGAGAGGGAACAAAAATATAACAGTTCCTGAGTATGGTGATTCACTTCCTTAGTTGCATAGGCTGCACAGAAGGAATCCGCTGCTTTTGCAGCAACACAACACGAACAGACAGGGCAAGGCACGCGAATACTAGTAGTGTATTGCTGGTACCTCTTTTTGGGAGCAACATCTTTGCAATGTTGCACAGCTGTCCCCCGAGGGAAAAATGTTATTGCGCCTCCGACCGCATGATTGAAATTTCATTCCTTGCCACGACCGTACTTCTGCAGCCAGGATGTCTCTGTTTGTTGGAGTTTATTGGAAGATTAGCGAAAAAGCCGAACATGTAGATCCTGCTATTTCCTAATCATCACAGCCCGAAGTTACATCGGTCCGGCGCGGATGCTCACACGGACACTTGCCACACGACACGTTCCCCATCCTAAACCTTACAAATCTCCAATCTTAGTCTATTCCACCAACCTCCTGAACCCTGAACCTTAAAATACTAAATCTTTACTCAACCCTAGAGACTAGAAATTCAAACCTAAGCCCGAATCTCTGCAGACCCTTAGCCCCAGCCTGTTCAAGAGGAAATAACCTAAACAACAGCACCCGAACCCCTATAAAACCATGATGCGAGATGGTAATTATTCCTTAAACCCGAACCTAGATCTGAGATCCTCTAACTTTCAGGCATTCTTGCCGGCCCAAGGTCGGAAGTAGCGAAGTCTGGGGCATGTCAGCGAAAGAACAGGACGGCCGCTGAGTTTTTCAGAGCTGAGGGCTTCGGGATAAGGGCAAAAAGGGTCTACCTGAAGCCTCCGGTTTGGGATTTAGGGTTTTGGGTTTTTGAGATTCAATTTTTCGTTAGATGTCGTCTTTTTCTAGGCTACTAATTAACCATGATTCAGCTGGCCTGAGCAGGAACTACAGCAGAGAACAGACTTAGTGCTCAAGGTTTACATCGTTGGAGTCTCACCGGCCATTCCCAAGTGGGACTGGTTTCAGGGCTTCTCCGTTGCTGAAGGTGTTTGACTTTAAGCCCTAGACCTGGCAAACGTTGAAGCTTGTAGATCTGAAGCCCTCCCCTGAGGCCTATACACCCTAACCCTCCCTAATCCCAATCCCTTAAAGCACCAGGAGAAGCAAGCCCGAAGCGGTCCGGCGGCTTTGCGAAAATCCTTCGATCCGGAGAAGGACAACGGAGGGCGGGTGTAATGTAAGGTCTAAGTCTAAGTCTAGGGCTAGGTGTGCTTGAGCATCCCAAACCGAGGCTATAAGCTGAATTCAGGGGTCATAAGCGGAGTGATTGTGTACAAGGTTTAAGGAGCCAGATGAACACTTGCAGATCGATGTTTCGCTGCACCGTAAAGTACGAGACACACACACACACACACAGCTGGTAACGCTTCCATGATCTAGACTGACTAGCAGCACAGCAACACCCGATGCAAGAAACAGCTTTCGAAATCTGGGATCCGCAGGCTCAAACTGTGTATTGGCATCAGTTCCACCGTGCAAGCCCCGAACGTTGGTTTCATCAACATATGCGGTTTTGAGAGCAGGCGAAGAAGCACGTCAATTTCACTACAAGGAGACAAGTAGTGACATACCTTGGGTCAGTCGTCGCGGTCTTGGGTTGACATGGCCCTGAGGATCTCGTAACAAAGAAGCCTATCTCCTCTGACGAGTTTTCCAAGCTCGTGGAAAACTCGCAGACGGGACTCACAGGGCGTGCTCGAGCTGCACGAGACGGGGCCTGGGCTCTGCATGTCGGAGCATGATCGAAGTCTTGAGGTAGGGAGTCCGCTCTGTGGATATTACGTTTCGAGATGATTGTCATGTAGTAAACAGAGGCGCGTCCATATTTCGCTTTCGGCATCGCGATGCTTGCGCAGGTTGACAGTTTCTTGCGCGAGCATTCGAGCTTCGTGCTACCTTGCCTCCCCTAAACTCTAAACCGTATAAACTCTAAACCCTGAAACCCTAAACTCTGAGCCCCTCAACTCTAAACCCCTAAACCCTAAACCGTGAGTTGCTTATATCCTGACTGCTCCTCCTAGTGTTACTTAGTGAAGTCTCAGACTCCGCACCCATGCCTCGCCTGGATTGTCCGAGTGTGCCGCAACCCTGAGCCCCTAAACCCCTAAACCCTTGAACCCTGAGCCCATAGACTGTAAAGTGCTGGCGACCGCAGAGCCGAGGATTCAGTCGCGGCGGAGTTTCCTCCTCCTTCCTCTGAGACCGGAAGCTTCACAGAGGGAAAAAGCAGGTTTAGGGTTTTGAGACCAGTAGCAACGAGGGGCCGGGGGGCTGTTGGGGATGATTGGGGATATTGGGAGAGGACAGTGTCTGTTGCTCCCGGCAAGAAGTTCCAGTTGAGAGCTTCAAGATTTTGGCAGTTTTGTTGAAGTACGTGATCCCTATGGTTATCAAGGAATTCATAATGGGATCCTGTACTGAAACGCTGGTTATCCTGGGCATCCGCAGAAATATAAAGTCTCGCGCACCCTTGTGGGCATGCCGATACTTCTTGCTTGTAAGTTACACCCCCTACAAGAAAGCTTTCGGGCCTGACTCGTTGGTTGAAGCAGGACTCCCGAAATTATTGGGCACCCCATACCGCGGTTATCTGGTTTTGTTTGAGGCATGCGGTGCCACAGGGATCAGCTTTCGCTTTTAGGGTACCTTAATGGGTATCAAGGGTTTCGGAAAGGCAGCTGAATTTCGGCCCCGTAAATACATACATGTGTAATCATGTATCTAAATAAACAAATATAAATGTGTATACATATGTATATATATATATATAATGTATGTATGTGTATATATATATATATACACATACACACACACACACCAAATGTAGCCCTTACCCTTACGATCTGTAGTCCAAGAGGGGCGACAGACAGCTTTTACGCTTTACCATCCATGGCCTGTTCGATGAAGGCCGTGCGAGAGCTGAACGGTGAGTTGGAGGCGGGCCCGGGCCAAGGGTTAAGTGAACCGTATACAAGCCCTCAACCCTTAATCACAAAGTCGCGGAAGCCATTCGGCGAGGACTAAAACTGATTAGCTACCTCAGCGGAGCTTTCTGGCGCCGTGCGCAGCTGCAACGGCGAAGCACCATCCGCACTTTGCGGTGGTCCGGTGGTATGGGAGTCTGTGAACTTGGTGCCCGCCGCTGCCCTCATACCCCGACTTTGGTGAGCCTTCCCGGCGTCCCTGTGGAGAACGGACGGCGGTCGATCGCATTGCAAAACACACACCACGGTTAAAATTGGGTTTAGCAAGGGAAGCTCGAAGTTATTGTTCGTCCTAGTGGTCCTAATGACTCGTTTGACCTAGAGCCTGCACAAAACAAACTTCAACACAACGCCAAAGAAACGAGAAGCATTTTGAATCATGGTTGAACAAATACAAGCAGCATAAACATGAGACCATGTGGCGCGGGAAATCGCATGACATGGAATGTGGAAAACGAGAATTCAAGCCGATAGTCGAAACACAAACAACGCCAATTGCAGCGGATTTGGACGTTTGCCATTGTCTATGGGTTTTTCGTGCGCTTTTTTGATGTATGTGGTTCTGAAAAATGTTCTGCGTGTTGTTTGTGTCCGCTATGTTTCCTATGGTTATATCGTTCGTACATTGTCTAAAGACACCGTGTCTTCGAAGGGGCTGCAGGTTATAACCATGGTTCGATCAACTACTTTAGGAGCAACTGTGGGGTATCCGGCTGTCCAGACTTCCACAGGAGAATGCGACTGCAAGTGTGGCTACAGCTATCTCGATGGCGGCAGCCTTCCGCGTCCAGGACAGCTGGCGGTTCTTCTTAGACTTTGCCTCCGGCTGCAGCTGTACGTGAAATCGATGTTTACGCTCATACGAAGGATGTGATGATGACGAGCACGGCAGTATCACAACGGTAGAAGATGGTGTTCCCGTGTGTTCAGTTCTGCACGACTCAGTCTGACGCTTCGTGCCTGTTTCTCTGTTCTCTGCCCGTATTGCCCATCATAATGTGCCCAAATAGGTTATAGTTGGGCCCCGAAGTACCCATATACAGGGACTACTTTCCGGCCAACGTACATACTATATGGGTACATGGATCCTTAGGGTTAGTTGCATGAAAGTCTATAGCTGCCGACCGTCCTCAAGTGGGGGTGCATTTACGGGTTGGTGACGATTATGAAATAGTGAATAATATTAGTACATATTTCTTTTTGAATGTCTATCATCGTTGGCTCTTACTTATATATATATATATACGCAGGTTCATGTATACATATTCATGTGAACATATAAACATGTTGAATCTGCATATATATATATATATATATTTACAAATATATATATATATATATATATATATATATATATACATATATATATATAGATATTCTCTCATATAGTTAAAGCTTGGTATAGGTATCATCAATGCGATGTAACGCGACTTGAACCACCATGTCTTGCTGTGAGAAGGCAGCACCGCACAGATGTGGAGGTGTAGCATTACCACATCTTGCAAAAGTCAAAAGTCGAGAATTTGCAGATTTGAGTCCATGCGCAGTGTATTGCAGCACAGCGGGCGCTGTCAGCGAGACGCTGCCTGCATTTGAAGGAGGTCAATGTCAAGCTGAAGGGGATCAAAGGGCAGGTTGTGGCCTGGAGTAGTCAGACAGGGCTTCAGGTCGGTTGTAGATACCTGACCTCAACATGTCAGAGAGCTTTCATGTATCCATCAGTCTATCTGTACATATTTCCAACACCAGGCAACAGTCTGCATTGGGATCGGGCGTTAGCGTAGTGCCCGTTCCTGACGAGACGTGTCCTAGAGATGAGCGATTTCGGAGGTAGCTTCATCATGTTGTCCAGTTGGCTTGTGGATTCGGAGGTTATGCCTCAGAACTTGGTGGTTCAGCTTGTGTTGCAGGTTGGACAGAGTGTGTGTGGAAACACACCAACTCTGTCCCGCACATGTTGTCAAATCCACGGGTTCAGGCAGCATCCCAGCTGATACTAACAACAGACCGTGCTAACAATGTACGGCAAATCGGTCCATTAGGTCTACTGATGTCAAACGTTCGTCAGACCGGGCAGACGTGCAACAATGACAATACCAGCCAGCCGAGCGATTGCCATTCGTCACCACGCTCAATGCATTTGTGGAGTGTTGTCTACCGTTTATGTCCTGATTAGCCGAGGCAGATGACTCCTTGAACATCACGGTTAAGACGGAGGCTGGGGGACTGCTTGCCTCCGACGTGGTTGTTGCGGCAAAAGTTGCTGGGACTATCGCCCTAAGGCATGCGTGACTGGCAGCAATTTTATACAGATGTGTTTATGTATACATATAACTATACACATACAAAAGTATATTTGTAATTAGGGGTTTTAAGGGTGAAGGGTGCGGTGCTGGTGTCAACAACTGGTTGGGACGAGCAACGTGCGCGGCACAAACATTGGCTTCCGCCACAATTGTCATGTGAAGCAGACCAGTGTGACGCAGGTGTCAGGCGTGAATGACTGTTCCGACGAGTTTCTTGGATTCCCGCAATATGGAAGCCTCCCCTGATATCAGAACTCCGCGACATTGGAATTTTGCGGTGTAGGGCCCATGATTGAAAGTCAATTACAAATATTTGTGGAGAGCGGATCGTATGAGAATGATTAGAGCTAAGACTACAGTAGTACTAAACCAAACGGACCAGGGCGAGCAGGTCTTAGGGCGTAGGCGCAGTTGGGGCTTTCGGGTTCGGGGATTAGGGTTTGGAGATCGTCGACGCTTCTTAACTTCTCGTGTTTCTCTCACTCCCGCGTTCGCATCCCTCGTCAAACGAGAAGGCCCTGCTGTTGAGGAGTGTTCGCTGGTTGGGGCTTGGGGACTTACAGGGCTTAAGGCTAAAGCGGCTAAAGGCTTCGGGCTCCAGGTTGAAGGCCCCGGGATTTTGACTTTTTGTTTATCAGGGGAAGCGATTAATCTTGAACCCCTCTCGTTACATTCATCCCTCATCGTCGTCACTCCATCACGGCCTCTGCGACGTGCTACAATTGTCAAAACAACAACACACCGACCAACGTTCGCAACTGGTCGTCCGCGGAAGTGGTGGTGGCATACGTGAACTGGTTACCAGGTAGTAAGATAGGAGGAGTAAGCATCGGGTAGTCAAACTCAGATAGTCTAGAAGGTAAGGTCGAAGAACATTGTGCAGCTGTGGAATGACTTCTTGACAGAAGTTAAACGAGGAACTTCGTGCGTCTGAAAGGGATGCACCTATCTTGAACATCTGGTCAGAACGTCTACTGCAGCGGGAACAACATCGCCAGTTGCAGAAGCTCGGACGTTGATGCTCTGAGAATACTCATCGCAGCAAACGGAAATCGTGTTCCTTTTCATTGAATATGCCCGCGTTGCTCAACAACGGCGTTTGACCATCGCGTTGTTTCGTATCTCTGTGGAGAGCATGAAGGCCTTAGCTGGTCTAGCCTGTCAGCGCATGCCTGCACGGTTTACGTGGCGTCGGCGAGAGAGCAGAGAGATTGCTGCAGTTCGGAGTCGCACCGAAGCGGATTGGGGGCTCGTGGAGCAACAGTAGCCCAGCAACAGCCACCATGCGCATGCCTCTCCGAGGTTGGATTGGCACATATAGAATATAGGCACTATAGTATAGTCACTATAGGTTGTGAGAACAACAGTAGTGCCTCCAGTCCCGCTCATCGTATCCCTTTCCCATCGGGCGCTTAAGGTATGTCTCTCCTGATCCAAGGCCTGAGCTCAAGGCATCTTTTCTCAAGAAATTCTCGCTCGCCATGAAGACGATCCCACCGGAAAGGCGTGCTAAGGGTTTAGGGCCAGTGATTTTGCCACGCAGAATACGTAGCCGCCTGCGCACAGACACGCATGCACGCGCACACATCGCCGCGCAGAGGTAGGTACGCATGTGTCTTAAAGACATGCTTGTGTCGGTGCACATGTGCAAGACCCTCACACAAATGCATTCGTACATACTTGCGTGTGTGTGTGTGTGGATAGACAAGATGTTGAAGTGATGTACATGTCTTTCTAGTGTCTGCATATACAATGAGAGTTTGACTCTGGGGGCGAGCTACCGAAGACACCATGTAATTACATACTTGCATCCGTGCATGCATGCATGCGCGCATACACATACCTACATATACAGACACATACATATGCAATACATATACATATGCATACATGTACACACATATACATAA